CTATTCACTCTTAGGAATGCAAAAGACCTTTCTCCTGATTCATGGAAAATATACTGACCACCATTACAGTGATGAGTTCCTGTAGTCTCAGGAACTGAAGTCTTTAAGGAGCCGGGGGCCCTCTGTCCCTAGAATGAGAAGAACGTATTAGAAATCCCTTGTGTTAGGGCTGGGAGGTAAGTGTTCCCAGTGAAAACATATCTTCTTCAAAATATTAACTGAGCATTTAAATTGTGCAGGGCACTGTGGGAGATGAAAAACTATTGCTGATGTTTTCTCTAACCTTTCAATTAGCAGCAGATCTCGTTAACAGTTTGTACCACCCAGGGACTACTGTGGGAAGTACCACAGGAATAAAACCAAGTCCCTACCCTCAAGAGATTTACAGTCTAGTGGGCAAGGCACAATGGAATCATAAGGCTGTAATGGAGTGTTAACAAAACATTAAGAGAGAGAGAAAAAGCATACCTAGGGAAACGTGAGGACTGTACAGGGAAGAGCTGGCATCTGAGGTAGCCTTGAAGGGTGAGTTGGAATAGGATAAACAGACAAGTACAGTTATCCCTCGGTATCAGCTTGGGATTGGTTCCTGGACCCCCGTGGATACCAAAATCCGAGGATGCTCAAGTTCCTTATATAAAGCAGCATAGTGTTTGCATATAGCCTACACCCATCCTCCTGTATACTTTAAATCATCTCTAGATCACTTACTTATATTACCTAACACAAGGTAAATGCTGTGTAAATGGTTATTATACTGTATGTGTTGTTAGGGAATAATGACAAGACGCAGGCTGAACAATGCTCCAGTGACAAATGCTGGAGAGAGACTGAGGAGCGGTGAACTGGCGGGAGGCTACAGCAGGGGATGCCCACACATCACTTCGTTCAAGTGGATTCAGGGTAGTGCTCGGCACACGGCAAATTCAAGTTTTGCTTTTTGGAACTATTTTTTTTTTCCCCGAATATTTTCAATCCGCGGTTGGTTGAATCCACAGATGTCAAACCCGTGCATACAGAGGGCCGACTGTACAAGCGTTCCAAGCCAGGGACCAGCCTAAGCAGAGAAGTCGGGACGGAGACCAAGTTCTGAGAATGTCAAGTTATCCCCTGGAGCATAGGGCGGTGAGGGCAAGACAACGGTGGTAAACACAGCCTGGAAGGCAGATTGGCTTGCAGTTCCTCCTCCAGAAATGCAAGGGTTCAAGTGCCAAGGCCATTCCAAGAGTAGATTGTAGCCAATGGTGGATGACCTGCCGGAAGTCATCCTGAAGAGTTTGAACTTCATGGACATAAGAAGCCAGGGAAGACTTCTGATCAGGGCTGTGCGCTGGGAAGCTCCCTCGGGCCACAGAGTGAGGGACACGTGCGTCCAGTAAGACTTACTCTGGGGCATCAGCTAGGAGGTTACTGCAGTGGTCCAGGAGGGAGCCAGTGGGGCTTTGAAACCGAGCCGTGGGCCGGAGAATTAGAAGGAAAGGGAATCAATGCAGGATATATTCCGGAGGTGAAATTCACAGAACTGGCCTCCAACTGCATTGATGTGGTGTTTGAGTGAGGAATTCCCTCTTCCAGGGAGGATTAGGAAACCAGTATGCCCTCACCCACCTAGTTAGATTGGAAGAGCATATACGCTGAAGGTGGAAAGAAGAACGTCCCTCTCATTTCCGTCTTCAGGGTATATACTCTTACAATCTAATAGGTGGTCCATAACCAGAGACAACCAGGAGGCAGTTCTGGCCAGTTAGAGAGGGGTCAGAAGGACTACAGCCCAGAAGGCTTGGAATTGGGGGGAAATGCTACAGATGCCCAAAGGGGCATTTCAAAGCATGTTCAAACAAAGAAGGAAGGGACATGCTCTTTCTTTGAAGCCAAAAACCAAAAGAACCCGTTGCCGTCAAGTCGATTCCGACTCATAGCTGCCCTGTAGGACAGAGTAGAGCTGCCCTTAGGGTTTCCAAGGCTGTCCATCTTTACAGAAGCAGACTGCCGCATCTCTGCCCGTAGAGCGGCTGGTGGGTGCAAACCACCAACCTCTTGGTTAGCAGATGAGCACTTAACTGGTGCGCCACCAGGGCTCCTCCTCTCAGAAGCAGAGGGTAGAACAGGAACAGAGGGTGGGAACACACAGGCACCTTGGCTGGCAGGAGGGCAGTGATGGCACAGTTGAGAGAGAAGAGAACTAGTGAGCTGCTCTGAACGGGCCAGGCTCCTGCGCAGACCCGGTCCAGCCAGGGGACCCCGAGGACTCACAGGAGACCCCTCGGCACCCCGCAGGGCTGTGGCGGCCCAGCGGAGGGCATGAGCAAGCAAGCTCCCTCACTCAGTGGGTATTTGCTGACGCGTTACATTCTAGGTGCTGGCGGTAGGGCAGTGAACCAGAGAAAAGCAGTGCCTTCATGCCTCAGGAATGAAGTTCTCATTCACAAAACGGGGCACAGGTGGGCTTTTGAACCACAAACCAGTGAGTGTGACAGCAACCGAGGACAAAATTCCACAACAGATTGAGATGAGCTGTGGTTCTGAGGAGAGGCAGAGGGTTCCCTTGGGGATCAGCGTCAGTTCCCCAAACAGCAAGTCATGTCAGACCCGGCTCATTTCCATCTCGACAAGGTTACCAGTTTCAAACAACTTTGGGGAATCAGCAAGGCGTTTGACCATTTCTCATGACATCCCCTTTCCCCCTGCAAGTACACTGCTAATGGAGACCTTGGGTGGTGCAAATGGTTAAGTGCTCAACTGCTGACTGAAAGGTTGGAGGTTCAAGTCCACCCACAGGTGCCTCAGAGGAAAGGCCTGGCGATCTACTTCCAAAAAATCAGCCATTGAAAACCCTATGGAGCAGTTCTACTCTGACACATACAGGGCCGCCATGATAAAAGGGAAATTTCTCACTGGGCTAGACTTAATAGACATGCTTTGTATTAGAGGGTCATAAACACCGAGAGATGCAAACAGACCCTGATAAGACCCCTGAGCATCAGTAAGTAATAAGCCGTTCTCCTGAGATCACACCAGTGCACTGGAACCCAGTGGGCTGAGTTTTCTGATTCCTCTATGGAGAACAGTGGTCAGGTGTCAGGCTTTTACCTGCCGTGTTAGTCCTGATGCTCACAGACAATGCCAACGACTGTTGCTGCTCAAGCATGGGATGGGTCTGAGGAGGCTGTGGGCGATGAGCTGCCCGCCTGTGCCTTCTGGCCACGGGGCACCTTTGGCACTCACATTTGCACTAGTCAGCCCCCCTCTCTGCTCTAGCCCGAGTGTGAGCTGCCTGGGGACTCACCACACCCGTGTGACCCCCAGAGCCCACCTCCCAGGGGCACTGCGGGATGTTGGCCCAGAGTGGCCTGGAGGGGCCTGGAGTGCTGCTCGTGGGCGTTGCCGTCCACACAGTGAGCCTGCCTGACTGGCCAGCAGAGGGCAGCAGCACACTCCTGGTCAGGAGCTGGACCTTCAGTCTCTTCTCCAAATAGGAAACAAGGTCAACTGCTTCTGAGAGGGCCTGGGCGAGGGTGGGATGGGAGTGAGGGGAGCCTGGGGAAGGTTTGGAATCCCACTTGAGGGAATAGGCGAGGGAGCAGACTTGGGACATGCCAAAGGATTGCCAAGTCGTGTTGAGGCATGGTGTGACTGGGGACTGCCCGTCTTTGTGAATACCAATGTGCAGTGTGGGGCTTGTGCTGACAGAGCTCAGCAACAGGTGTAGGCATGCGGAAGGCAGGCAGCTGGTGTTGGCAGATGGGATAGAAGAACAGGAGGCAGGAGAGCTGAAGGTATTGACAGGAGGGTTTAAAGGGAAGGCCCGTGGGGTCTAGAATTGTGGAGATGTGTAAGGAGGCTGATGGGTTTAAAGGGCAGGAAAGGAAATGATGGGGGGTCAGAGAGTTGGTGTAGTGAAGCAGGGACATGAGAGAGCTGGAAGGAGCAAGGTAGTGCTGACAGGAGAGAAGAGCTCAACATTTCAGAGGAGGAGCAGTCCTGGGAGTGAGTGACTTCGGGGTCAGGTGGACCATCCATGGAAGCTGGAGAGGACAAGGGGCTGTATGTTAGTCTTCGAATGCTGCTGTAACAGAAATACCACAAGTGGACGGCTTTAACAAACAGAAGTTTATTCTCTCACAGTCTAGCAGGCTAGAAGTCCAAATTCAGTGTGTCAGCTCCAGGGGAAGGCTTTCTGTGTCGGTTCTGGAGAAAGGTCCTTGTCATCAATCTTCCCCTGGTCTAGGAGCTTCTCAGTGCAGGAACCCCGGGTCCAAAGAACGCGCACCGCTCCCGGTGCAGCTTTCTTGGTGGTATGAGGTCTCCTTGTCTCTCTGCTCGCTTCTCTCTTTTATATCTCGAAAGAGATTGGCTGAAGACACAGTCCAATCTTGTAGATTGAGTCCTGCCTCATTAACATAACTGCCAACTATCCCACCTCATTAGCATCATAGAGGTAGGATTTACAACACATGGGAAAATCACACGAGATGACAAAATGGTGGACAGTCCCGTAATACTGGGAATCATGGCCTAGCCAAACTGATTCACGTATTTTTGAGGGACGCAATTCCATCCGTGACAGGCTGAGAGGCTAACCCTCTGCAGGGATGGGGATGACATCATCTGGGATGACGGCAGGCTAGAGAAGAAGAGGAGGGCTGGCTATCAGGGCCAAAGCCCTTGGTGATAGAGGGAAGTGATCACAAGAGCAGAAAACGCTGGCAGAGCTGGGCTGGAGCAGGGCCCCCATACTGAACTTGTGCAGTCATGCCCAGAGGTGCTAGGCTTAGAGGGCAGCAGGTAGGAGTGACAGCTGTGTGGTCTTAAGTAAGTTACTTAACTTCTCTGGGCCTTAGTTTCCTCATCTGTAAAATCAGGATAACAATAATGCCTACAGAGGATTAGAAGGATGAGTGAAGGGAGGAAGCTCAGAGCTGGATGGGGATACGCTCATAGACTAAGGTGGCCTTCTGTATGGTATTCTGATTATTGTTATATATTTCTGTCTCTCTTCCAGACTCAAACTTGAGAACTTGAGTGTGCATCAGAATCACCCAGAGGGCTTGTTAAAACAGACTGCTGGGCCCCAACTCCAGAGCTTCTGATCAAGTAGGTCTGGGGTGGGGCCTGAGAGTTTGCATTGCTGACGAGACCCAGGTGACGCTGATGCTGTTTGTCCAGGGACAACTTTGGGAACCTCCACTCCGAGTCCTTAGAGACTGTACCCTCTGGAGGACAGGGACTCCTCAACATCTAGCACCGAGATTGGCGCATAGCGGGAGCTCACCCTCGGGAGAGTTACATCCAGGACAGACAGACATACAGCAGGGGTCACCACTGGACAAAGGGTGCTGAATGAAAAAGAAATAACTTCAGAAGAGGCTTCAAGTCATGGTGGTTTATGAAGGAAGCTAGAATAGTATCTGGGAGCAAACTCTGAGGTAATGGTAATACAGTTTCCCGGGCAGAAGGGACTGTGGTTCTAGTAAGGTTTGGGGCTTTAATATGGCCCCGTTTGGTGCCTTGTTCCCATGGAATTCCATCCTATGCATCTAAAGATGTACCTGGAGACCCCCTGTGAGGAACTCACTTTGCCCACTGCCTTTGAGCTTTCCTTGTTATTGTTGGGCCCTGTTGAGCTGATTCTGACTCAGAGCGACCCCACGTGACAGAGTAGAACTGCCCTATAGGGTTTTCTTGGCTGTAATCTTTATGGAAGTAGATCGCCAGGTCTTTCTCCCGAGAAGCCACTGAGTGGGTTGGAATCACCAGCCTCAGTTAGCAGTCAAGTGTTTAACCTTTGCACCACCAGGGCTCCTAGGCTCAACACACATTCCACACCCATGTTTGAAACCAGTCCAGGATTTTGATTGCTCTGTGAACTTCCGAAAAACTCTCCCAGGCACCCATTTGTCAATGAATGGAGTGTTTTCCCCAGAGAAGGAGCCCTCCATGCTCGGCGCTCTGGCAGCACTGGTCCCACTATCTACTGGGATAAGGCTCTCTCTTCAGCCTTGCAGCCAGCTGGGGTTGAGCTCAGAATCCTGGGTCCCACCAAGGAGCCCCTGACTAGCAGTATTGGTGAAGAGCCAATTATGAAATTAGCACAGGAGTAGCCCTGGCCCCAGCCAGAGGGACTCACAGGCTAAGTGTGGTGGCCAGGAGCAGAGGTGCTCTGGCAGGGCAGCCTTGTCTTGTCTGTTTGCCTCAGAGACACCGTGGCTCATGAGTCACCCAAGCCTAAGCGAGCGGCTCTGCTGTCCAGGCAATTAAGTCAAGAAAGGGAACCTGCTCAGCTAATGGCCGGGATTCAAGCGAAATGAATTCAACTCACGTGAAAGGGATACTGACTCCTTTCCCCGGTCTCATTATATTAATTAACAGTGCTTGGCAAGAGTATTGAGGCCTGATTGTGCTTTTCCTGCCCGCCCCTCTTAAAGCTCTGCCTACAAGTTAAACCAAACCAGTTGTCGTCAAGTTGATGCCGACTTCTGGCAACCCCATGTGTGTCAGAGTAGAGCTGTGCTCCATAGGGTTTTCAGGGGCTGGTTTTTCAGAAGCAGATTGCCAGGCCTTTCTTCCGAGGTGACTCTGAGTGGACTCAAAGCTCCAATCTTTCAGTTAACAGCTTGTAGTACCCAGGGACTCCTAAAAACCCAATATGCAACAGCAGTCTGCACGTTCTGACCTGCTCTCCTTCCTCTAAGACTGTCACTGGGTTTTGAGTTGGAGGGTTATTTATGGCGTGAGAACCACCTGCATCAGAAGCAATGTCCAGGCTCCACAGGCCTCTGGAACCTGAACCTCTGGAAGTCAGGCTCAGGCAGCAGTGGCCTTTAATGTACCCAGGTGGTTCCAGTATATAGTCGGGGCTGCAGCACAGGAACAGATGATCAACATTTCTGCACAGCGGGATCCCCTGGGGAGATTTAAAAAGTCCTGATGCCCTCTGGGGTCTTAAAAGCTTGCAAGCGGCCATCTAAGATGCATCAATTGGTCCCAACCACCTGGAGTAAAGGAGAATGAAGAACACCAAAGACGCAAGGAAAGTATTAGCCCAAGAGACAGAAAGGGCCACATAAACCAGAGACTTCATCAGCCTGAGACCAGAAGAACTAGATGGTACCCGGGTACCACCAATGACCGCCCTGACAGGGAACACAACAGAGAGTCCCTGATGGAGCAGGAGAAAGATGGGGTGCAGAACTCAAATTCTAGTAAGAAGACCAGTCTTAATGGTCTGACTGAGACTGGAGGAACCCCAGAAAGCATGGCCCCTGGATTCTCTATCAGCCAAGAACTAAAACAATTTCCAAGGCCAACTCTTCAGACAGGGATTGGACTGGACTGTGGGACATAAAGTGATACTCATGAGGAGTGTACCTCTTAGCTCAAGTAGATACAAGAGACTAAACAGGCAGCTTCTGTCCGGAGGTGAGATGGGAAAGCAGAGAGGGTTAAGAGCTGGGTGAATGGACATGGGGAATCGGGGTGGAAAGCAGGAGTGTGCTGTCACAGTATGGGGAGAGCAATTAGGGTCACATAGCAATGTATGTATAAATTTTTGTATGGGGGACTAACTTGAAATGTAAACTTCATTTAAACTACAACAACAACAATAATAATAATAAAATTAAAAAAAAAAAAACTCCTGATGCCCTTTGGAGACAAACAGTGTAGTGACGACGGTTGCACAACATTGTGGATACAATTAATGCCACGGATTTGTGCACTTAAAAGTGGCTAAAATGGAGAATTTTGTATTATGCGTATTTTACAATTTACAAAAGAAGAAAAATGAATAATAACCAAACCACCAAACCCGTTGCCATCAAGTCAATTCTGACTCATAGCGACCCTGTAGGACACAGTAGAACTGCCCCATAGAACTTCCAAGGAGTGCCTGGGGGATTCAAACTGCCAACTTTTTGGTTAGCAGCTGAACAGTTAACCACTGCGCCACCAGGGCTCCATGAGTAATAACAGTAATTTAAAAAGACAAAAGAACTATTAAACAGCTACCAAAAAAAAACCCTTCTGATACCTAAGATCTTCCCAAGACCAGCCAAATCAGACTCTCGGATGGGATCTAGGCATCAGTAGTTTTTTGAAGTCCCCAGGTGCTTCCAATATATGGCCAAGTTCGAGAACCAGTGGTTTGCCCCAGTGATTTTCAAATGTGAGTGTGAATAAAATTGACACACTTGTTAAAAATAAAGCCCCACCCTGCAGAGATTCGGATTGAATGGTGTGTGGAAAGCCTGGGCATTTCTGTTCTCCAGGCTGCCCAGCTGATTCTAACATGTAGCCAGGCTGATAGCCAGTCTCGTTCAGTCGGTCACCGACACGTGAGCCTGCAGAGGTGAAATCCTCTGCCCGAGTCACCGAGCTCTTTGGGGCCTGAGTCCACACTGGCCCCCAGGGCTGACTCCCCCACCAATCCTGTGGGTCGTCCAAACTCTACCACGGTCTGTCTGCACCTGTCACGTGGAGATCAGAGACACAGAGGGTAGAATGGTACAGAGAACCTGCATCTTCCCTCCTCTTCATTTCAACTGTAGGTCTCGACTTAGATACAGTCCATTCTGCTCTGATGTTTGTTTTGTAAGCGTGAATTTGTTCCACTGTGATTGATGCATTAGGGAACAATATTGATACGTATCAGGGAAAAATATTGACATATTAAAAACAACCAGTTGCCGTTGAGTCAGTTCTGACGCATGCAGGCCCCATGTGTATCAGAGTAGAACTGTGCTTCATAGGTTTTTGATGGCTGATTTTTCAGAAGTGCATTGCCAGGCCTTTCTTCCAAGGCACCCTGGGTGGACATGAACCTCCAACCTTTCAGTTAGCAGCTGAACAGGTTAACCGTTTATACTTCTCAGGAATTCCATTGATATAATAAGGGGACATGAATTTCACATTGGCTTATGTGCAATTTCCTACATGTAAATACAGAAAACTGCACCCCACTAAACCAAGCCACGTGAGAATACACAGATTGCATCGCAAGTATCTACCAGCTGCCTCAATTCTCCACGTGTGTTATGAGCCACCCCATCTGCGTCTGGTGATAGAACTTTCCACTCAGGGATCTCAGATAACCCTCCTTCCACCACTTCACGATAACTTACAAGCTGCACCGTTCTGACGCCCACTTCCACAAGCAAACGTCAGGTCTTTCTCAAGGTAAATGTGCCCTATTTGTTATATTTATGTATTTCTTAACCATTTCACATGGCTAAAACTTTTTTTCTGTGCATCTGATGAAGTTTCCGAGGGTTGTGTCTCCACCCCATTTTTCCCAGAAGCCCTGTGGTTTTTATGGTGCCATTTTGCACATGTCACCCTCTCAGTTAGCTAGTGGTGCCATAACAGAAATACTGCAGGTGGGTGGCTTTAAAGAACAGAAATTTACTTTCTCACAGTTCAGGAGGCTAGAAGTCCAAATTCAGGGTGTGGCTGTAGGGAGAGGTCCTTCCTTATCTGCTTCAGCTCCAGTGTTGTTGTTAGGTTCTGTTGAGTCAGTTCCAACTCATAGTGACCCTGTGTACAACAGAAACGAAACACTGCCCAGTCCTGCACCATCCTCACAATCGTTGCTATATTTGAGCCCATTGTTGCAGCCACTGTGTCAATCCATCTCACTGAAGGTCTTCCTCTTTTTCCCTGACCTGCTACTTTACCAAGCATGATGTTCTTCTCCAGGGACTGGTCCCTCCGGAGAACATGTCCAAAGTATATGAGACAAAGTCTCACCATCCTTGCTTCCAAGGAGCATTCTGGCTGTACTTCTTCCAAGACAGACTTGTTCATTCTTCTGGCAGTCCATGGAATATTCAGGATTCTTCACCAACACCACAATTCAAAGGCATCAATTCTTTCCATATTCCTTACTCATTGTCCAGCTTTCACATGCATATGAGGTGATTGAAAATATCATGGCTTGGGTCAGGTGTACCTTAGTCCCCAGAGTGACAGCTTTGCTTTTTAACAGTTTAAAGAGATCATTTGCAGCAGATCTGCCCAATGCAATACATTGTTTGATTTCTTAACTGCTGCTTCCACGGGCGTTGATTGTGGATCCAAGTAAAATGAAATCCTTGACAACTTCAGTCTTCTCTCTGTTTATCATGATGTTGCTTATTGGTGCAGTTGTGAGGATTTTTGTTTTCTGTATGTTGAGGTGTAATCCATACTGAAGGCTGTGGTCTTTGATCTTCATCAGTAAGTGCTTCAAGTCGGCTTCTAGTAGCTGCCAGCAATCCTTGTAGATATATGTCTCCATCATCTGTCTTCTTCTTCTCCCTGTGTGTGCCTCTGTGTCCATTCTGCTCTTTATAACCCACCCTACTCGGGTAATATCTAATTAACAGAGAAAAACCCTCTTTCCAAACACGAACATATTTACAGGTATATCAAAACCAAAACCAAACCAGTTGCCATCAAGTCAATTTTGACTCTAAGCAACCCCAAGTGTTTCAGAATAGAACTGCTCTATAGGGTTTTCATGGCTGTGACATTTCAGAAGCAGATCTCCAGGCCTTTCTTCCAAGGCTCCTCTGGACAGGTTCAGACTGCCAACCTTTTGATAGTAGCCAAGCACTTCAGTGGTTGCGCCACCCAGGGACTCCATTTACAGGTATAAGGGCCAGGATTTCAGTATATATTTTGTTGTTGTTGTTAGGTGCTGTCGAGTCGGTTCCAACTCATAGCAACCCCATGTACAACAGAACAAAACACTGGCCTATCCTGCGCCATCCTCACAATCGCTGTTATGCCTGAGCCCATACATATTTTAGGGGGACACAATTCCATCCGTAATAGTCACCTTATAGCAGATCTAAACATACAAGTAATTGTACATTTGCTCTTTATTATCCTTTTAGTAATGATTTAGGAGCGCACTACCCGCTCTTAGCTACAGTCACTACCGTGTCTCCCTCTGCCCACTGCCTCAGAGAACTCGACTCCTGACACCTGCTGGGTTGGTGTACTGCTCGTGATGGAGTCCGAAGCTGCTCTCTGCACCTTTATGTCCAAAGACCCGAACCTCAGGAGAAGCCAGTGGCCCACAGCTGTACAGGCTTCTTCTGGGCCCTCCTCGCCACACTCACCCCTCTTGTTCCCTCCCAGTTTCAACCCATGTAGGGCTCAGGTTTTTGGTCGCTTAGTCTTGTCTCTCGGATCCCCCTTTTGTCCATGTCCATCTGATCCCCGTCTGCTCTCTCGCTGCCTGGACCCCACACTCGGACTCTGGACTTTCTGGGATTGATTGGGTCTAGAACAGCTTCACTGCTGGTTCTCACCTCTGTATTAGATTTGCCCGATACCAGGGCTCATCTGTATTTACTCCAAGCCATGTAGGCTTCAGGCTCCCATGGCCCATCCTCCCAGCTTCTGTCTCCATGAGCTGCCCCTCCAGGCTCCTGCCAGCTCACCTAGCTCCTTCCAGCTCACCTGTCCTGGCATTTGACCCACAGAGGTCGGCTTCAGAGACACAAAATGTAGTTATATCATGTCTTCCTGTATTGCATTAGAAAATAGGTCTGCATAGTGTGTTTGTAACACAACAAATACTACATAAGCCCAAATAATTTTCTTTAAAATCTCCTTGTTCAGCTGGCTTTATCTGCCTCTTGTTTAATTTCGGCTTCCCTGTTATGGGCTTGTGGGGGCAGTGGTGGTTCAGTGACAGAGTTCTCACCTTCCATGTGGGAGACCCAGGTGCAATTCCTGGCCAACCTACCTCATGCACAGTCACCACCTGTCTGTCAGTGTTGCTGTGATGCTGAACAGGGTTCAGTGGAGCTTCCCGACTAAGACTAAGAAGAAAGGCCTGGCCAATGAAAACCCTATGGGATCACAAAGGTCCGATCTCAATGAGCTTGGGGTCACTGTAAGTCGGGGATTAACTTGACAGTGTAACAAATCATGGGCTTGAAAATACAGTGTCTTGGAGTATATGTTGTTTCAGGGCTCTTTTTCACTAATTATTACCACAAATTCAAGGTCAAGCCTACCTACTTCAGTGTATACATTTAGGGGCCAGCACTGAGAAGTCAAGGAGCCCTGGTGGCTCAGTGGTTAAGTGCTCTGCTGCTAACTGAAAGGTCGGCAGTTCGAACCCACCAGCCGCTCTGAGGGGGAAAGATGTGGCAGTCTGCTTCCGTAAAGATTACAGCCTTGGAAACCCTATGGGGCAGTTCTACTCTGTCCTATAGGGTCATGATGAGTTGGAATCAGCGTGACGGCAGAGTGTTTGGATTACTGAAAATTCCATTAAAAGACAGAATTGAAACATGAAAATTTAACTCTGTTATTCAGAGCTTTTTTCACTCCATGTTTCTGCAGGGATTTTTCTGTCTGGCTGCATAAGATGAGAATCCAGTCCATTCTGGGGTTTGGAAAAAACTACAGCTGTAAAACTGTCAGCATCCTGGGACCAAGTTAGTTCTTTCCTGCAAATACTGGTGAGGCAATATCAGAACGTGTATCGTACAGTCATGGAACGTCCTCAGTGATGATCTCCAAGTTTCTACTCACTTTTCTTCTAGAGCAGAGGTTGGCAAGCTGTGGTACTTGGCCTGCAAAATCTGGAATATTTACCTTCTAGCCTCTACAGAGACAGCTTGCCAACACCTGTTGTAGAACACAGAACACGGTGGTGGTTTAACGTAATCTAGGGCTTCTCAACCCGACATTGGATAGAAAATTAGGTTTGTGATGCACATGTGTGTTTTTGGAGGGCAAGAGTTCAGAGCTATCATCAGATTCTCAAAGAAGTCTGTGACATAAAAATGTTGAAGACCTACTACCACGTTGTCTAAGGAGCCCTGGTGGCACAACGGGAAAGTGCTCCGCGCGTGGTGCTTGAAATATTGGAGGCGTAGCTTTCAGCATCACGGCAACACTCAAGCTACCAGAGTACAGCCAACAGACAGACAGATGGACATTTGTGTTAAGCTGATGAAATGTGATTCTTTGTGGAGATGACATAAAATACCCCATTTATGCACGATGAGATGTACTGTGTATGGGGTCAGGATGGATGAACTGAGCCGGGCTAGTAACTCAGGCAGGTTAGAGGGAAAAAATCAGTGGAGTTATCAGAAACAATGCTGAGCCTTCTGTGGGCTGGGCTGGGCCCCTGAATATGGTGTTGCAAAAAAGTGTCTCTTTCTGCTGTTGTCTCCAACTTCCTTTGCAAATCTTAAATGAGTAAGTGAAATAACTAATGGATAAACAAACATAGGTTATTATAAAGATTAAATGAGATCATGTTTTTAAAGTACCTAGAATAGTGCCTAAACCAAACCCAAACCCTTTGCCATCAGATCCATTCTCACTCATGGCGACCCCATGGGTTACAGAGTAGAGCTGCTCCATTGGGTTTTCTTGGCCGTAATCTTTATGGAAGCAGATCGCCAGGCTTTTCTTCTGCAGCACTACTGGATGCGTTCTAACCACCAACCCTTAGCTTAGTAGATGAACGCAAACCATTTGTGTCACCTGGGGAACATAGAATAGTGCAATGTAAGTGTTTGCCAGAAAGAGAGCAAGAACAGCTTTGTCTATACCAGGCGATTTCTGCCAACAGCCACATCCATGGGGTCAGAGGAACAAAGGAGCCTGAGGGAGCAGGCACATCATAGAGGAAGCCCCAAGTTCTAAGGACCCATATGCAATACCTTGAGCTCCGACGCCTGTGTTTTCTTTCTCCTTCTTCTCCATAGGACCATGGGAGACCACCTTGAACTTCTCTTTGGAGTGGTGCTTATGGCCATTCCTGTGTTTGGAATTTCTTCCTGCTCCTTTGATCGTGGGATAGCCTTATACCGTTTCTGCAACCTCACCACGGTTCCCCAGGTCCCCAACAGCACTGAGAGACTCCTGCTGAGCTTCAACTATATCAGGACAGTCACTTCCACGTCATTCCCCTTCCTGGAGCAGCTGCAGCTGCTAGAACTTGGGACCCAGTTTACGCCATTCACTATTGACAAAGAAGCCTTCAGAAACTTGCCCAATCTTCGCATCTTGGATCTGGGCAAAAGTCAGATACACTTCTTGCATCCAGATGCGTTTCAGGGACTACCCCATCTATTTGAGCTTAGATTGTTTTTCTGTGGTCTTTCAGATGCTGTAGTAAAAGATGGTTATTTCAGAAATTTAGAATCCTTAACTCGCCTGGACTTGTCCAAAAATCGGATTCGTAGCCTTCACCTTCATCCTTCATTCCGGGAGCTGAATTCCTTGAAATCCATAGACTTTTCCTTCAACCAAATATCCGTTGTATGTGAGGATGAGCTCAAGCCCCTCCAAGGGAAAACGCTGTCCTTCTTTAGCCTTGCAACTAATAACCTGTACAGCAGAGTCTCAGTGGACTGGGGAAAGTGCATGAACCCATTCAGAAACATATCCCTGGAAACCCTAGATGTTTCTGATAATGGCTGGACAGTGGACATCACAGAAAACTTTAGCAATGCCATCAGTGGAAGCCAGATTTTCTCCTTGGTTCTTGACCACCACATTATGGGTTCTGGGTTTGGCTTCCATAACATCAAAAACCCTGACCAGAACACGTTTGCTGGCCTAGCCAGGAGCTCACTGGTACGCCTGGACCTCTCACATGGGTTTATCTTCTCCTTGAACTTCCGGCTCTTTGAGACCCTCAAGGAGTTGAAACTTCTGAACCTTGCCCATAACAAGATTAACAAGATTGTAGAGGGGGCCTTTTATGGACTTGACAGCCTCCAAGTTCTCAATCTGTCATATAACCTTCTGGGGGAACTTTATAATTCTAATTTCAATGGACTACCAAAGGTAAGGTATATTGATCTGCAAAACAACCACATTGGGATCATTCAGGACCAAACATTCAAACTCCTGGAAAATTTATATACCTTAGATCTCCGGGATAACGCTCTTAAAACAATTTATTTTATTCCAAGCATTCCTAATATCTTCTTGGGTGGCAATAAACTAGTAACTTTACCAAACATAAACCTAACATCCGACTTCATCCAATTATCCGAGAATAGACTAGAAAATCTGGCTGATCTCTACTTCCTTCTCCAAGTGCCTCATCTTCAAATTCTCATTTTAAACCAAAATCGCCTTTCCTCTTGTAGCCAAAGACATACCCCTGCACAGAATCTCAGCTTAGAACAACTTTTCCTTGGAGAAAATATGCTGCAACTTGCCTGGGAAACTGGGTTCTGTTGGGACATTTTTAAGGGACTGTCTCACCTCCAAGTACTGTTTTTGAATAGTAACTACCTAAATTTCCTTCCACCAGGAGTATTTAGTGATCTGATTGCATTGAGGGAGCTCTATCTCGGCTCCAACAGGCTGATGGTTCTTTCTCCTGGTGATTTACCTGCTAATTTAAAGATCCTAGATGTATCCAGGAACCAGCTCCTGTCTCCTGATCCCAGTTTATTTGCATCACTTAGTGCTGTGGACATAACAAATAACAATTTCTTCTGTGAGTGTGAACTTAGCGCTTTTATCAATTGGCTCAATCAGACAAATGTCACTCTACTTGGGTCTCCTAAAGACATATACTGCATGTTGCCTGAGGCGGTCTCTGGGGTCTCCCTCTACTCTGTTTCCATGGAGGGGTGTGATGAAGAGGAAGCCTTACAGTCCCTAAAGTTTTCCCTTTTCGTCTTTTTCACTGTGATGTTGATGCTCTTCCTTATGACCGTCCTCATAGTCACGAAGTTCCGGGGGTTTTGTTTCCTCTGTTATAAGAGAGCCCAGAGACTGGTGTTCAAGGACCACCGCCAGGGCCTGGAAGCCGATACGTACAAATATGACGCCTACTTGTGCTTCAGTAGCAAAGACTTTGAATGGGTGCAGAACGCTTTGCTCAAGTGCCTGGATGTTCAGTACAGCGACCAAAACAGATTTAGCCTGTGCTTTGAAGAAAGGGACTTTGTTCCAGGGGAAAACCACATCATCAACATCCAGGATGCCATCTGGAGCAGCCGAAAGATTGTTTGCCTTGTGAGCAGGCATTTCCTGCAAGACGGGTGGTGCCTTGAAGCCTTCAGTTACGCCCAAGGCAGGTGCTTATCCGACCTCAACAGTGTCCTCATCATGGTGGTGGTGGGCTCCCTGTCCCAGTACCAGCTGATGAAACACCAGCCCATCAGAGGGTTCATGCAGAACCGGCAGTACTTGAGGTGGCCTGAGGATCTTCAGGATGTTGACTGGTTCCTCAATAAACTCTCTCAACAAATACTCAAGAAAGAAAAGGAAAAGAAGAGAGACAATAGTGTTGCGTTGCAAACTGTAACAACAAACTCCTAGTCAAAGGGGCAGCTTTCAACTTATCTCAAGCCACAAATAATTCACTTCGTATTTGCACTAAGTCACCATTTTGGGCTTCTTTTTTCTACCAGGAAAACAACATAAATCTCTTGATTTTCATATCAACACAATGTTTCGTCTCACTGACCTCCAAATGGAAAATAATAGATCTAGAACATGCAACTGCCCTGAGGAAGTCGGCTAAGGATTCAGAGGTTCCCACTCGCCATTGATTTCCTGTCAGACCCAATAATACTGTTCTGTCCCGTTGTATCAGGTATAGGATGTCTCCTTGTTGTGGGAAGGGCACCTTGGGAGACATTACAGATGGCTGACATATTTCTCCAGCATTCAGGTGATGAATGGGCTGGCCAATGAGTCTGAGCTCTCTGGACTCTGCAGAACAACACAACGTAGAAAGCAGACAGAAAGAGAAGCACGTTACCTGCCTTGGCCTTGGGATCCTCTGCATAAGAGCAATGCCGTCCTTGGGTGCAGGACAAGCTCAATCTCAGGGATAAGAGGTAGTCCCAAAGAAACTGGGACGAGAATTATTGTTGTTAGTTGTCGTCAGGTCAGCCCAACATGTGATGACCCCATGCACAACAAAATGAAATGCTCAGGTCCTGCACCATCCCCGTGATCGATTGTAGATTGGACAATGTTGCATTGTAATCCATAGGGTTTTCATTGGCCAATTTTCAGACGAAGATCTCCAGACCTTTCTTTCTAGTCCATCTCTTAGTCTGGAAGCTCCACTGAAACCTGTTCAGTATCATAGCAACACACAAGTGTCCACTGACAGACAGGTGGTGACTGCGCATAAGGTGCACTGACTGGAAATAGAACCTGAGCCTCCCACACGGAAGACGAGAATTCTACCAACAATGCCCTCAATGGGATGCGAATAGCTAGATCTGTTGTAGCCGGAGCATACTCTTACTGTCAGCTCCTAAGGTCAGAGCAGAGCTTGCTCCTCAACAACATGGGCCATGAACATTGTTTTGCATGCCACCTTTGTTTCAGCCTGGCAGTCAGACCTTCCGAGAATTTGCACCCACCTACCATTTCAGCTTTCTTTCACACCACTTCTCATTTATCAATCACTCAGCCTGTTATGGAACGAGCATGGACTTTGGATCCAGATTCTAGTTTGAGCGTTTGAGCTCTGATTTTGCTGCTTGTTAGCTGGGTGACGTCAAGCAAGTTACTTGCCCTGGCTGTGCTTTAGTTTTCTCATCTGTGGAGATAATGATGTCTACCTCATAGAGTTACTGTGAAAATTAAATGGGTCAACAGTGTCAGGGCTTCTCAGATCTTTCGCTTAAATTTCCCCTAAAGGCCATGAACATGCACACATATTTAGGAACCTTTTGGAAGCAGTTACAATTTTTTTGAAGTTGAATTTTTTATCTTAATATATGTATAGTGTTCTATTCCAGTTTTTAATCTTTTAAAAAAAATATTGAAATGTTTTTCCATAAAAACGTTAAGAAAATGTAGAACTTCTGGGCAACATGGCACTATAGTCAGAAGCACCACGCTGTCGCTCCACGGCAAAGATCAGAAAAACTAAGTCAAACAGAGTTGCACGTCAATCCTGAAACCCTAAGCATCTAATGAAGAGATAAAGAATGCAGCCAAGCACCAAATGGAATAAGAAACTGTACAGAGAGTGAGGAGAGATACATGCAGAGGTCCCCTATCAGCTACCGCAGCATGGATCTGCCATCTTGGACTCCTATTGGAGATCTGCGAACGGGGGTATGAGAAAGCACCTTCACGGAGCTTCCTGCAGGAGACAGAACAATTGGTAACCAGCAATATAGGCTTTCCCACCTCCCACCCTACTGCACTCCCACTTAGCCTCCTCTGCTTCCTGCAGCCACAGTCTCTTGGGTGGAAAGCACCAGCTTTACCCCAATGTCGCCTGGATTCCACCCCCCGCACTGGCCGGCTCCCTGAGTGCCTTTCGTTGGCTGCTGGTGTTGCTTTTTTCCACTTGTTTAGATTTCTTCCTTACCTCTCACCACCTCCCCCTCCTTTCTCTCAAATACCTGGCTCCGTGTGCCATCTTTGCTTCTTCCTGAAAGGCTGCGAAACACAGCTTGACTGTGAAGCTGCTTCCCGGCCAATGCCACCATGCTGATGGGACCCCCGGGGCTTTTTTGTTGGTATATTTTGTTTGCTCTGATTTGTTGTTTTGATTTGTTTGTTTTCTTTTTCTTGTCTTGGCTTGGGAGCCCCTTCAAGTCAGGCAGTACCACGCGGCTTGGAAACTACTCCCTTACTCTGCGCAGATGCACAGGGACATCCCTGGGGGCATTTCTTTTTTCTTGTTTTGTTTTGGGGTTTTTTTGTTTGTTTGTTTCTTTGTTTT